CACATACAGACAGACATGCGACACTGATAAAGGAGGAAAATTCTCATCGTTTTCTGACTATAATGAAAGCCTTAAAAGCACAGACTTAGGAACAGTAAATAAGTAATAGAAGTTCTAGCTATAGTTGCTTGAAAACAATTTTCAACAGAAAACATTCAAGTGTTGCAATCTTAATCAGAAAGCCTTCTTCTAAGTGGGTAATCTTATTCGGAGAAAAAAAATTCCAGTAAATTACCAATCTGACCCAAAAAGGAATAATCATAATAATTTTCCAACCAGTTTACATTAATAATTTTGATCAAGTCAACCATCAACTAAGGTAACTGTACATTATTATAACCAACATGTTGTTTTTCCTACAGAAGTAGCCAGTGAACAGAAAATCAGATGCAGGTTGCAATTTGTTAACTGAACAAACAATACCATTCCACAAGACATTTGGATAAAACAGTCTCCAACTGTTAGCTGAGAAGCTTTTCAAATCCTAATAGTTAGCTGGCCGCCAGTCCAAACACAACTATTGTTATTCATCCTCCTGAAGTGGCATTCACACGCTCCACAAGGTTGCATCCCTTGACCTGAGAGCCTGGAAGCAGGCTTCTTCACCTCTGAGTCTCCCAGCAGACCACACAGCTGTAACACCTCCTTCCAGATACCACAAGAACCATCTATGCGAAGTTTCCAGTGCAGAGGGGCAAACATGAGCTCAGAGACGTTAAGTAACTTTTAAGTAACTTGCCAAGAGCAGGCAGCTGGTAAGTGGCAGTGGCATTCCACACTGGGATGTCACTTCCTGTCAGAAGCCCCTTCTGTTACCAAGAATACCACCCGTTACAGTTACCATATTTTGGACACACACGTGCGACAGGGTCTGTGGAAAACTCTTCACACTGGATCTCTTCGTTCAGTTCTCACAATAACTTCAATACAATTCAAGTCATCAGTTCTCAGTAAAGGAATAAAATTGTTCCCAGATATATGTTCATGTGCCCAGGCTCACTTAAAATAACAACTACAGTGAGATCATTTATCACCTCTGAGATTGCAGTGGATGAGGCACAGGAAAACAAGGATCCCCCACATTGTGGGCAAAAGGCTCGACTGGTACTTCTGTGATGGACAATGTGTTGATGTGCATCAAAATTATAAACTCCTCGACACCCTAAACCAGGAAATTCTACTTTTCAGCATGTAATCTATGAACATCCTCAACCATGTCCGAAACAACACAGGAACAGTATTACTATAGCGCATCTGTCATGCCCACCAATGAGAGAACTGTGGTACAATGATTCGTTTGCACAATGGAGTCCTATACAATCATAAAAAAGCAAGCATGCTCCTTATACAGTGATATGAAATGATCTCTAAAATATTTTGGTTAAAGAGACAAGATGCAGAATACCTAGGATAGGGAAGCTCTGGAAAAACACTCAAGAGACTCCTATAACACAAAGACTTTTGGGGAATAGGCACTGAGTGGGTAGACGACAGAGCTGGGAGACTTTGAAGGACGACCCTTAAGGCTTGATTCCTACATGTTCATGTTCCCAGAGACTAGATATGGGGAAACACTGAAACAGACAATAAAGGAAACTAAGTTTGGAAAGCTGCCACATCTACCTGCGAGTGAACTTTGCAACCAGAGTGGGGAATTTTGCACCTAAAGGGACAGACTGAAAGCTTCAATGAACCTATCAACAGGATGAATGGCTTATTTTGGCCTGCCTGCGTGCTTGATTTTGAGTGCATGTATAACAGAATTTGCTGAGAGACTTGCTTTACTGAAGGCCTGGGAGCAAAAGTGGGGTGAGAGGGGGAGATTGCCACCACCTATTTCAAACCTCCGCAGTGGCTATTCTCATCCACCAAAAAGAAGCCAGGAGACCCTCACTACCAAAATGGCAACATCCTGCGACTGAGGCCTCTCCAACCAGCACCTGACTGTCAGATTCATGCAGGTGAGAGTTAGAAACCAGTCATCTGTCCTCCAAACTCCAGTGGACATAAGTCGGGCTTTTCCCATGGGATCGACTCCAGTGCCCTGGCAAATATCCAGCTGGGTTGAGAGGGTCAACCTTTCCTCCCGGCAAATGCCCCACTCAGTTGAGTGCTTTCCTGAAGCGCCCTCAGCAGGCCTGAGGTAAAGGGGAATCACACCTGACTCTTCCCTGGGCGTGAAATCCCCAGTTCTGCTTCCATAAGCAAGGTACACACAACACGTGTTCTCTCACAGCCCTGGGCCTTTTCTTGTGTTGTTACATGTGCCTGTCTCCTTGGCTAGTTCTAATCACCACTCCTTCAAGTATTAAGCCCAGACTAATTTTTTTTAACGCAGTGAAGTCCGAGTACCGCTGCAGCACTGCTTCCTCGGAGCCCCAGCTGCATCTCGCACACGCGAATCACTGCAGGCCTAGCACACCGCACTGCGGAGTGCCTACTCCCCTCCTGGGTTGCCCCCCAGAACGTTGAGTCCTTCAGGGCAGAAATGTTCTGTGTGGTGCCGAACACACAGCAGGCACTCTTAAAACAACAGTGAAGTAGAATTTGTGGATAAAATGCACTTGATGGGCTTAACTTTTTTGGGGGGGAGGGGGGGAACAACTCGTCTTTCTCTGCTTTCTTTTGCTTTAGAAAGTCCTGATTCACATCCCAACATCATGAGGCTGCTCTCCATAGAACTTTTGGGACAACCAACTCTCTGAAATCAGGCTGGCTATGAAAGCAGCTGGGATTCTGCTCCCCATTTCCATCTTACTGAAATAACAGCACTGGACCACAACGTTTGGCCACATCTCATTTGGTCTAGATCATGAGGCAAATGAACACTGAAAGCGTAAGGTAAATAGTGTAACCTGTTGACCTTGCTTAGACTCCATCTCAAATTTACAGTAACTAAAGTAATTTAGGAGAACACAGGGATAAGCACGCAATCTCCACAAACATCAAATACAGAGAAAAAATGAGACAGCATTCACAAAATCTAAAGAACACACATAATCTATTTTATAATGCATGGATTCAAACTTCAATCTCATTCTAATGGACCACTGCTAGGGAGATAAAGCTATTTTAAAGGAAAAATTGTACACAGAATAAATGTGTAAGTTTCCTGGTGAATCTCACTAAGGCTTCAATGTATTTTCTTATTGAAACAATCAAACAAGCTCTTGGCAAAAAGATTAGATACTGGTGTCAGAACGATGTAAGAAGCAAAACTATTTATAATGCAAAAATTTTGTTTAAAGCAGATACATCACTTTTTATTTTACTCATTTTGAAAAGAAGCTATGTTTTATTCAGCAATAATCCTTCTCTCACTCTATCAGAGAATCTGTACAAAAGCAATATTTCAACCAAAATCAGTTCTGAAGGATCTTTTATGAAAATGCATAATGCAGAAGACCCCAATTAAATTTCCAACAAAGCACTGTCATTTTGAGTAAACAAAGTCATCTCAGTAGGGTCACACTTTCTGCAAGAATTGCAGCCCAGAAATTAATTACTAGTGTGACATATGTCAAAACAGATTTTCAAAAGAACAGAATGCAGTTGTAAGCATGTGTTTTATCTATTTGTTTGTATGCACAACCAGTATTCCCTGGCATGTGAATATATTCATTTTATTCAGCATCTCTCAGAAAAATAAAAAGGCTCACCACCACCCCCATCCTGCACCCAGGTGAAATCGGAGTAAATAACACATGTTTAGTGAGTCAGAAAACAAGAACAGAATGAAGATACAGTGCGGGTGATATTTTTGAAACGCAGAAGTCATCTTCACACAAATAACTAATTTTGAAACATTCAGTCTGCCTTCAAAAAAAGGTTTTCAAAGATATACATCAACTACACCACACCACACTAAAGGTTATTACTTTGTGGAAATCAAAGCTTCAAAATAACACGTAACCGTGCTGGTGGTTCATAAGGAAGACTGTAATCTAGTAAAAACAAGCAAACAAAAAGACTTCCTGGGAATAAAATTAGGATTCTAAAGAATCTCAACATTCCGCTAATTATCACAATCATTATTTAAATTAAAAACATTTTTAGAAATGAAAACATTTTGGCACCTACGGGAACTCCAGACAAAACAAAGATTAAGAGCAGAGGAATGCAGACTCTCTACTGTATTTTAACAGAAAATCACATCCTAATCCTTTTCACAGTGTATATACCTACATCAAATCATCACACTGTACACTTCAAATAGATCACAATTTTATCTGTCAATTATATCTCAAAAAACTAAAAACACAAAAAACCTAGCATTTAAACTCATAAAAAAAATCTTACGTCCTAAATCAAGATTTCTCTCGTATTTCAAGTATCTAAAAATCAACTTTTGAACTTCAAAATAGCCTCTTCCACGTGAGGCAAAAATTAAAACATGCTTCCTGCGGTAATAATCACTTTGCTTTTTCAACCAAAAAAAGAAGACACTGATCACATACTGAATCCTAGAGTTTCAGGGTTGGAAGGCCCAGAGAGGTGGACAGCTTGCTCTGGGGCACACGTACTGCATGTCACAGGAGGGCCAGCACTCCAGGCCAGACTCAACTTCCCAGGGCATCATACTTTGTTATTAGGAAGACAAGAGCTAATGGCTTGTTTCATATAAAAACAGACTATTGAGACACTTGTCCGCTAGAGTGCTTCTTTCATTACCAATTCTTCATGAATTCCATGTATACGGTAATTAACTCAATATTTACCCTTAGTAGTTACTTCTTAATATTTCAGCTATCACAGACACGTAGCCACCCCCGGTGACAATGAAGCTATAGGATGGAACGCTCTGACCCCTGGGACTGCTCTTTGGCCAGACCCAAGCTACCCATTCATTAGATGTCAGAGCCGGGATAAGATGAAACAGTGTTTTACAAAGCGATCATAATTTCCCTCTGTAATTCTTTTAAACCAGTTTCTCCAAATACATTTCCTGAATGAAGCATATCATTCTTTTACACGTAAGTACTGGAAAGTAAGTTCCTTACCTCTCTTAAAACAGTGCTTTTGTAGCCTCTGTACAGTCCCTGTATGCCCTGAAACACACCAAAGGCCAAGAGCTCAGAAAGTTAGAACAGTAAAGACTTCTGAATGACATTCTGCATAAAGCAGATTCACCTTTTCTAAAGTTTCAGTTCTAAAACATTCATAATTGCCACAGTTCTGTAACAGGTCAAAGGTTCTGAACTGGCCTAAGGCATACAAAGCTCAAGCCAGCTCCCGTGAAAATGGGACCATCTCTCATAATAAAGCTAACTAATATTAGTTAAGCTTTATTTGCTTTCAACATTTCTTCTCTTGAAAAGAATACTTGAGCAGCTTTAGATAGACGTATTTCTAAAAGCAAACGCACAGAAAATGCTAATTATCCTTTCATATAAAAACAGATTCCACGGTTGTAATCACAAGGCATCACAAATTCACGAATAACCTCACAGTAGTGATCAGTACCTCTGAACAAGCCCGATCTATTTAATCAAACACACATGATTCAACAGGGACTTTTACTGGATTGATCTCATTCATAAGATTAAATATTTAATGTTCTCCTCACCTAGGTGACGGAAGGATCATTAAGAGTAACTTTTGTAAAACTTAGGCTCACTGAAATTTCCATGTGATTGATTTCCATTTTTTAAAAAAAAGGCTTCAGTATGAACTATAAAGAAAAACAGGTAAGTGGTCCCTAGTCACATGGCCAGCAAGAATGACTTCTGACTCACAGCTTAACATTAACCAGTACAAGAGAAATTACATTTTTATATAAGCATTACGACACTGGTCACAACTCAGTCCACTACCACAGGTCTCTTCCATGGCTCCTCAAGTTCTGTACCGCTATTTTAGTATAGGATCTTTATTCACTTTATATATTCACTATTTATTCCATATCTGACTCTAAAAGAACTGTAGGACGATTGCAACGTAGGACACATATTTAGTAGTGGCACTCACATGTGTTTTTAGAAAAAAGGAAAAATAAAAAATCAAACTAAAAATTTGAAAAAATGGGAAGGCAAAGATAATCTTAGCATAAAAAGTTGCTGTAACTGAACACTAAATTTAGCTCTAAGGTATCTTCTAAGGATTCTGGAATGAGGGCCGTGGTGTTCACATTAGCTGTCATAAAACCATTCTCAATAAATAAAAAAGAGAGCTTAAAAACGTATTCTCACCTCTTGATATAAGATGTTAGAGAAAATGTGAAATGTTCCTGAAGAAGCAGATACCTGTGCCCTCTGCTTAACTACTTCAGAAGGGACTCGAATCAGGCAGGCAACCTGCAACACATCAATTTAATTATATCTTAGAAAAAGAAGTAACTCCTATGAAAATGAACATTTTTTTCTAAGCAAAAATTATAGTTTAAAGAAAAGCATAATGTATAGGCTCAATGCAAGACATCAAAAGGTTTTTTTTAACCTACAACACTTAGGGCATTACTGAACATGCACTGTGTTATCAGCCCAGAACTTTGCCTCCCTTGTCTCGTGAGGATCCTCCTGCCTCAGTGCCCCAGGCACATTGGTCCACAAGCCCCATGACAGGAAGAAGCACATTTACTCATTCTGAGCTCCTAGCACCTAGGACAGCATCTGGCTGCTCACATGACAGCCATTTCAAACAGTATGATCAAGCAGTGAAACAAAAGGGTCTTTGTTTGCTTTACTGGAGAAACACACAAACACGCAGAGGCAAAACTGAAAATCACTGGGCATATATCCAGAAGGAACCATACTCCAAAATGACACCTGCACCCCAGTGTTCATAGCAGCACTATTTACAATAGCCAAGACATGGAAACAGCCTAAATGTCCATCAATAGATGATTGGATAAAGAGGATGTGGTATATTTATACAATGGAATACTACTCAGCCATAAAAACCGACAATGTAATGCCATTTGCGGCAACATGGATGTTCCTGGAGAATATCATTCTAAGTGAAGTAAGTGCCAAAAAGAGAAAGAAAAATACCATATGAGATTGCTCATATGTGGAATCTAAAAAAAACAAACAAAACATACATACAAAACAGAAACAGACTCATAGACACAGAATACAAACTTGTGGTT